ATTTAGCCATGAGGAAATTGCAATTCGGAGAGGATAAATTGCCTGAGGTTAATCCTAATCAGTGGCATAGATGGGATTCAAATCTAGGTCTGAATCTAGATCTAGCTGGCTCTCAAATGGAATTTCCCATCACTCACTGGAAGTGTTTTCAGATGGTACCTTATGTGCTGAGGGAAAGATAAACTATCTCACAGTTTTTGCTTATCTGAACCTATAGGATTTGTGCTGGGCAAGATGTTGTAACAATCAGGATTTCATCAGTTGTCTTCCGAGGCTGTCCAGTGAGATACAATTTTCCCTGAATCTCTCAGGATCCCTTTCCAATGGCTTTTTTTTTTTGAAAGAGACAGGGTCTCGCTCTGTCGCCCAGGTGCAACACAATCATGGCTCACTGCAGCCTCAACCTCCTGGGCTCAGGTGATCCCCCACCTCAGCCTCCTGAGTAGTAAGTAGGACTTCAGGTATGTGCCATCATGACCATGTAATTTTCAAACAAATTTTTAAAAACCTTATTTTTTATTTTAAAATTTGTTTTGGTAGAGTTGAGGTCTCACTATATTGCTCAGGCTGAGCTCAAGTGATCTTCCAATCTAAGCCTCCCAGTGTTGGGATTACAGGTGAGCCACTGTGCCTGGCCCCATTATAATTTCTTTTTTTCAGACGGAGTCTCACTCTGTCACCCGGGCTGGAGTACACTGGCACAATCTTGGCTCACTGCAACCTCCACTTCCTGGGTTCAAGTGATTCTCCTGCCTCAGCCACCTGAGTAGCTGGAACTATAGGCTCCCACCACCACACCTGGCTAATTTTTGTGTTTTTTGTAGAGATGGGGTTCTGCCATGTTGGTCAGGCTGCTCTCAAACTCCTGGCCTCAAGTCATCTGCCCACCTCAAACTGGCATGAGCCACCACGACTGGCCTCCAGTGGTTTTTTAAATGTCTTTTTCTTTTCTTTTCTTTTCTTTTTTGAGATGGAGTTTTGCTCGTTATCCAGGCTGGAGTGCAATGGCGCGATTTCGGCTCACTGCAACCTCCGCCTCCTGGGTTCAGGCAATTCTCCTGCCTCAGCCTCCTGAGTAGCTGGGATTACAGGCACACGCCACCGTGCCCAGCTAATTTTTTGTATTTTTAGTAGAGACAGAGTTTCACCATGTTGACCAGGATGGTCTCGATCTCTTGACCTCATGATCCACCTGCCTCGGCCTCCCAAAGTGCTGGGATTACAGGTGTGAGCCACCGTGCCTGACCTTTAAATGTCTTTTTCTTACATATTTCATTTTTTAAGGAGATGAGGTCTTGCTATATTGCTGGGCTTGAATGTAGTGGCTATTGACAGGTGTGACGCAGCTTCAAACTCCTAGCCTCAAGCAATCCTGTTTCAGCTTCCCAAATAGCTGGGACTAAGCCAGCTTACCCTCCAAATCAAATTATTAACTAAATCCTATGAATTTTGATGTATTTTATTTTTTGAGACGGAGTCTTGCTCTGTCACCCAGGCTGGAGTGCAGTGGTGTGATCTGGGCTTACTGCAACCTCTGCCCTCCAAGCTCAATCAATTCTCCTGCCTCAGCCTCCCAAGTAACTGGGACTACAGGTGCCCACCACCACACCCGGCTAATTTTTTTTATTTTTAGTAGAGACAGGGAGGGTTTCACCATGTTGGCCAGGCTGGTCTCAAACTCCCGACCTCAGGTGATCTGCCCACCTCGGCCTCCCAAAGTGCTGGGATTATAGGCGTTGAGCCACAGTGCCTGGCCAGGATGCTTATTAAGGAAGTATCTCCAACCTCAGATTGTAATTCTGGTCTGGAGTGGAGACATGTGATCTATAGATCTTATTTTGAGCAATAGCTCTAACAACTTTTTCTTGAAAAGCCCTTCACTTTTCTTAAAATCCATTGTTGGCTGTTAATTCAATAATGTGAACTTTCACTTCTTTTCTTCCTTTCTACCTTACCTGCAATATAAATTCCTGACTCCCCCAACCTTCACACACCCCCTGGGCTGTTCCTTGTGTCTCCTCCAAGTAGCCAAGCAAAATCCTATTCATATTCTATCCATCCTTCAAGGTTATTCCAGAATTCTCCCAGGCAGAATTAATCTCTCCTTTCTCTGGGCTCTCTCAGCAATCCAATCTGTACTTACCTTTATTACAGAACATATCTTAGTTTGGATGTAGTGTGGTTCCCAGAGTTGCAGCATCACCAAAACCTAGGCACTTGTTAGAAACCAGATTCTCCAGGGCCAGGCGCTGTGGCTTACGCCTATAATCCAGCACTTTGGGAGGCCAAGGTGGGTAGATCACAAGGTCAACAGATCGAGACCATCCTGGTCAACAAGATGAAACCCCATCTCTACTAAAAATACAAAAATTAGATGGGTATGGTGGTGTGCGCCTCTAGTCCCAGCTACTTGGGAGGCTGAGACAGAATTGCTTGAACCCAGAAGGCGGAGGTTGCGGTGAGCCGAGATGGTGCCATTGCACTCCAGTCCGGGTAACAAGAGTGAAACTCTGTCTCAAAAAGAAAAAAAAAAAGAAACCAAATTCTCAGGCTGCACTCCAGAACAACTGAATAAAAAACTCTGGGGATGGGACCCAGCAATCTATATTTTAACAATCTCCACTGGGCAAAGGTGGCTCATGCCTGTAATCTCTGCATTTTGGGAGGCTGAGGTGGGTGGATCATGAGGTCAGGAGATTGAGACCATCCTGGCTAACATGGTAAAACCCCATCTCTCTACTAAAACACACGCACACACACACACACACACACAAATACACAAATAAATTGCCAGGCATGGTGACATGCACCTGTAGTCCCAGATACTCAGGAGGCTGAGGCAGGAGAATCTCTTGAACTCCAGATGTGGAGGTTGCAGTGAGCCTGGATTGTGCCACTGCACTCCAGCCTGGCAACAGAGTGAGACTGTTTTTTTTTTTTTTTTTTAGATAATCTCCCCAAATCCCCAGTGGGATGGTATTTCCTTTGCTAGACTGTGTGTTTGTTGAGGGCACAGGGTAGGTTTTACTTATCTTTCCTTAGATCTAGCCTGGGGCAAACAGTTGGTAAATGATCAATAGTGAATGGAGAGCACCTTAGACATTTTTAACAATTCTTTGCAGATCATACTTGTACAACAGACCCTACACTTTCACTGCATACGTATCCACGGTTCTTTTCCCTTCCATTCTTGCATAGCCTTGGATCTGGGTTGACTGGCTTGCCTCTCCTCCCTTGTCCTGTCTCACCTAAGCCAAGGACAGAGCTCTGTTCTCAGAAATGACAGATATCAGAGATTAGCAGATATCTGAGTGCAGGGATGCTGATGGGATTGTGTCGGTTGATAAACACATTTAGGTTTCAAGATGAACTTGGCCATGAAAGCCATGGCTGCCTGCCTGTCTCCCTGCAGCCTGGTCCTTTGGCAGCTGAAATTTCTGACAGTTGTGTGGAAAAATACCTTCTCCTCCCCAAAGTGAGAGTAGGAGTGAGGGAGGTGGATAAAGGAGAAAGAGGAACAAAAGATCTAGAAACCACGATACGAGGTAACACGATAGACTATGGGCTTTGGATTCAGGAAACTTGACTCCAAATCTCAGGTCTTCCATCATCATGTAAACTGTGACAAAATATTTAACCTCTCTGCAGTTCAGTTTCCTTAGCTGTAAAGTAGGGATAATATTGTCTCGCCTTGTAAGTAGAAAGAATTAAATTAGAATGAGACAAATGAAAATAATTCCTGTAATGCTAGCACAAAGCCTCATTGCGAATTTGCTTTTGTGAGTATTTGAAAAAGACAATACTGGCTGATCGCTGGACTATGCCATATGGCCATACCAGTTATCACTCACCCTAAGTGATATCCAGACAAGTAGACTTAAAAGTGCCAATCCCAAGCAGGGCGTGGTGGCTCACATCTGTAATCTCAGCACTCTGGGAGGCTGAAGCTGGTGGATCATGAGGTCAGGAGATCGAGACCATCCTGGCTATCATGGTGAAACCCCATGTCTACTAAAAATACAAAAAATTAGCTGGGCGTGGTGGCACACGCCTGTAGTCCAAGCTACTCTGGAGGTTGAGGCAGGAGAATCACTTGAATCTAGGAGATGGAGGTTGCAGTGAGCCAAGATGGCACCATTACACTCCAGCCTGGGCGACAGAGTGAGAGTCTGTCTCAAAAAAAAAAAAAGGGCCAATCCTGGCAGGGCATGGTGGCTCATGCCTGTAATCTCAGCATTCTGGGAGGCTGAGGCAGGTGGATCACCTGAGCTTGGGAGTTTGAGACCAGCCTAACCAACATGGAGAAACCCTGTCTACGAAAAACGCAAAATTAGCCAGGCGTGGTGGTACATGCCTGTAATCCCAGCTACTAAGGCAGGAGAATGGCTTAAACCTAGGAGGCGGAGGTGCGGTGAGCTGAGATTGGGCCATTGCACTCCAGCCTGGGCAACGAGTGAAACTCCATCTCAAAAATAAACAAACAAACAAATAAATAAGGTGCCAATTCCAAAAGCAGCACGTGCGATGACATCTGTTGTGGGGAGGGACTGTAGGCCTGGACAAGAGGGGATGGTCATGCCAAGGACACTTTTTTTTTTTTTTTGAGACGGAGTTTCACTGTTGTTACCCAGACTGGAGTGCAATGGCACGATCTTGGCTCACTGCAACCTCCACCTTCTAGGTACAAGCAATTCTCCTGCCTCAGCCTCCCGAGTAGCTGGGACCAGGCATGCACCACCATGCCCAGCTAATTTTTGTATTTTTAGTAGACGGGGTTTCATCTTGTTGACCAGGATGGTCTCGATCTCTTGACCTCGTGATCCACCTGCCTCAGCCTCCCAAAGTGCTGGGATTATAGGTGTGAGCCACTGCGCCCGGCCTCAAGGACACTTTTTAGTGCATTTTTTCAGGCAAAAAAACCCTACCACCACCACCACCACCACCACCACCACCACTAAAGCTGGGTTGATCCAAGGCAGGCAGAGGACAGAGGATGCAGGCAGCTTTTAAAAAAATATTGATCTGGATCAGATGGGCTGATAATGCCAAAACACTTATAAACCAAAGCTGCAGGTCTCTAAGGTCTTCAGAGAAGCTACACAAAATACTATGATTTCATTAGCAACCACGTATGTATCATTTTCCACAACATTTTACAATTATCTTGTTTCACAGGGAAGGTGAACTAATTCTAATAAAATATCAACAATGTATCTTAAATAAGTAACATGTTGCTGGAAAAAAATTAAGTTAAAATGCACCACATAATAGTGCAGAAACAAAGTGCAGATGGCAATTTAAGACATGAAGACAATGCTGAACCAGTAGTGTCTGGAGTGATACATTTTGCCCATCTTTGGCCAGTCCTAGAGCAGTACTCACAAGCTGTAGGACAAATGTGACTAATGAGACTAAAATACTGAAGACCAACTAAAACCACTCTAGAGTCTTTCACAATGAAATGCTCCTCCCCCTGGTCTGGAAACAGTGATCTGCTGTAGCTCCTATCCTGCTGTGGCATCTATCCCTGCTGTAGGACCTATGACCAGATCAGATGTCCTCCATCATCCAGCCTCTAGGACAAGTGGCGCTCAGTGAGTCACAACCTGAGGTACAGCTGCTGGTTACCGATTTGTACTTGACTTGGGTGGCAAGGATTTTCTCGTTTATCTTGAATATATTTACTTCTAAAAAGACTGTTAGTCTTGCTGGGAGGTGAACAGGGACATGTGAATTGCTATAGAACATAGTAACAAACATGGGTTCTTGAAAGCCCATTGTCGGTGCCATGAGAAGAGGCCTACCTTATCAGGAAGATCTCACTTCTTACCTCTACAAGAGAAAAGGCTCATATTAAAATCAACCTGTGGTTGCCTCCCTTAGAAATGTTGTTTTCAGATATTCCTATTCCTACTCTTAGAGGCAGCCATGGAATGTAATATCCTCTGTCCTTGGAGTCAGGAAGAAAGGGAAATCTCTTCATAAAAGGAATTTAAATTCTGGCCTTGGCCTCTCAAACCTACTTCAAGTGAAAGATAGCTCAACCAACAGGAGCCTCGAGTTGAATATCTTTTTTTTTGAGGTGGAGTCTCTGTGTCACTCAGGTTGGAGTACAGTGGCATGATCACAGCTCACTTCAACCTCCACCTCCCAGGCTCAAGGGATTCTCCTGCCTCAGCCTGCCATGTAGCTGGGTAGGCGTGCAGCTTCACACCCGGCTTTTAGCATTTGTAGTAAAGAGAAGGTTTGGCCAGGCTGGTCTCAAACTCCTGATCTCAGGTGATCTGCTCACCTTGGCCTCCCAGTACTGAGATTACAAATGTGAGCCACTGTGCTCAACCTGATTCCTTTAATACAGGCTCAAGCACATGTGCCCTCACATATACTGGGGGAGAACTTTCTTAACAAGAGAGTCTTGAGCACATCTTTCCAAGATGCTAAGTTGGTGGGGAAAACAGACTTTGCACTCACTTGGCTGACTGCCTGAGCGGGGTCTGGGAAAAATGCCTTTAACCCCACCTTTGATTCCTCCCTCCTACGCTAGAAAACTAACACATCTATCCCTAGTGAACAAGGAGTTGGACTGGGGTCAGCGCATTCTCATCAAAAGGCATCTTTGATGTTTTTGAGCTGGCGCACAGCCAGGTCTACAGGGAGGCTAAACTTGAGGCTGCTAAGGCGACTGAGCAGGTTGAGGGCACTCTCAAAGCCTGTGTGTGCCATGTAGCTCCAAGGCTGGTAGTGAGGCTCGATGAGTGACCCGGACTTGCAAATGAGGTTCACCCAGGACACCAGACGCTGCTCATTCAGTGCCATGCACACCAAGGCCTTCAATTCTGAGTCTGCGCTGCGCTTAAAAGGGTCATGCTCTGTCAGCACCACGTGAATGGCTGTCAGTAGGCTCTGTTTGGGGGTCACAACAGTGCCTCCCGTAACAGGAAGGGCGAAGGACTGGGAGAGCTTCCGGGCTGGGGATTCCACATAAGCACGGCCGTTCTTGGCATGGTAGTACTTTACAAAGAGCTCCCAGGGGTGCATGGCCTCAGGGGCTGAGGAGAAGGCTGGCAGCAAGCAAGCAATAGGAGCCATGACAAGGCTCATCCCTGGGGAGGAGGCATACAGTCCGTGGGCCAGCAGGTCCCTCACAGCCACCGTCAGCTCCTTCCGCACAGCCGTGGTCAGCTCATCCTTGCCTCCCAGAGAGAGGTCCTGGAGGTTGGCAGAGGTGATGACATGGTCATGTGGCTGGTGCCTCAAAGCTAGCTGCTTCACTCTGTCCACTGACACCTCCAGCCTCTTCAGCAAGGGAGAGTAGTCTCTGTCAGCCTGGCCCCTCTGCCACAGGGTTGGAGGGATCTGGCCTGTGGCACAACCAAATTGGCTAACAGCAAAGATCTGGAGCACTGCCAGTGCTCGCCGCATCAGGTGCAACCCTGTCTCCCGGACTTTCTTGACATCCTCTGCCTTTGCTGCTTAGAAAAGACAACAGGTCATCAGTGAGAGGCCACGACAGCACAGAGCTACACTCAACGAATCACAGGCTGAGATCAGTCTTGCTTCTGAGCCACATTATGGGTCTCACATGAAGGCAAAAGCCACCCAGGATGTAGCTGGACTTCCTTTTTTTTGGTTAATAATAGCTGTACTGAGATATAATTTACAGACCATATGATTGACCCATTTAAGGTGTTTAATTCAGTGGTTTTTAGTATATTCAGATTTGTGTAATGGTCACTGCAATCAATCTGAGAATATTTTATCATCCCCAAAAGCAACCCCATACCATCAGCATTTCTCATTCCCCACTTTTCCTCAACACACCGAAGCCCTAGGCAACCACTAACGTATTTTCTGTCTCTACAGATTTGCCTGTTCTGGAAACTGCACTTACTTTTGGGGTTTCCTGGAGGTGGTCTGCTGCTACCTGTTCTGGTGCAGCCATTGCCTGCCTTCCCACCGGCCTTGCACTCACAGTGTCCACCCCCTGTCTGCAAGGGGCTTCCCACTTCATCTGGAATCAGAAATTATAGAAGAGACACTTATTAGTCCCTTTATGGCAGATCGTTAAGGGAAAAATAACGTTTAATGATGTCTATTACATGCAAGAATTTAACAAAATCTTGTCCTATTTAACTGTGTAAAATGATGACTGGCATACAGTAGTTGGCTCAATAAATATTTGCTAAGTGAATGAACCATGAATCATCATTTTATGGATGATAAGAGTTAGACTGGGGCCGGGCACGGTGGCTCACGCCTGTAATCCCAGCACTTTGGGAGGCCGAGGCGGGTGGATCACGAGGTCAAGAGATCAAGACCATCCTGGTCAACATGGTGAAACCCTGTCTCTACTAAAAATACAAAAAATTAGCTGGGCACGGTGGCGTGTGCCTGTAATCCCAGCTACTCAGGAGGCTGAGGCAGGAGAATTGCCTGAACCTAGGAGGTGGAGATCGCGCCATTGCGCTCCAGCCTGGGTAATGAGCAAAACTCCGTCTCAAAAAAAAAAAAAAAAAAAAAAAAAAAAAAAGAGTTAGACTGAAGAGGTTGGTAACATGCTCAAGGACATAAAGCCAATGAGTAGGAGAGTGGGGATTTTAACTATCTGATTCTGAAACCCATGTTCTTTCTCCTCTGCCATGCTGCCTCCCCTACTAAGCAATCAAGCCTCTTAAATAGTACATCAAGAATTGGCACCTTTTGGTGCCTGCAGTCTCAGCACTTTGGGAGTCTGAGGCGGGCAGATCACTTGAGGTCAGGAGTATGAGACCAGCCTGGCCAACATGCCAAAACTCCATCTCTAATGAAAATATAAACATTAACCAGGCATGGTGGCGGATGCCTGTAATTCCAGCTTCTTGGGAAGCCGAAGTTGGGAAGATCTGTTGAATCTGGGAGGCGGAGGTTGCAGTAGGCCAAGATCATGCCACTGCACTCCAGCCTAGGTGACAGAGCAAGACTTGGTCTCAAAAAAAAAAAAAAAAAAAAAAAAGAAAAAAGAATTGGCACCTTTTTACTAGTACTCAGAATAAATATAATTATGATGATGCTGGGCATGGTGGTTCATGCCTATAATCCCAGCACTTTGGGAGGCTGAGGCAGGCGGATTATGAGGTCCGGGATCTGATATCAGACTGGTCAACATGGTAAAACCCTATCTCTACTAAACATACAAAAATTAGCTGGGTGTGGTGGCGCACACCTGTAATCCCAGCTACTCAGGAGGCTGAGGCAGGAGAATTGCTTAAACCTGGGAGGCAGAGGTTGCAGTGAGCTGAGACCATGCCACTGCACTCTAGTCTGGGTGACAGAGCGAGACTCTGTCTCAAAAAAAAAAAGTTATTATGACAATTGTCCACCCTTCTCAGCCTATCCCCTCCTCTAACCTTGGATGAAGTTGATGAACATCTCGAGGTCTCGGATTTGAGTTTTCAGTTGCTCAACCAATTGTTCTTTGACTCGGGCTGGGTTCACGATCTGAGCCACCGCAGCATCTACACGTTGACGAAGCTCTTCAGTGGACAGGGAACTGATGTCTTCATTCAGATTCATGTCCAATTTCTTTATTAACTCATCTATGATCACCTATCAAGATCACAAGCAATGAGCATACCCTTTGAAATTTTTAGGGAGAGGGCAGGGAGGAGAATCTAAATATGTCTTCTGCCCATAAATGGAAATAAAAAACAGACCGCCAAATTTGTGAAAGAAAATGACTTAACTGCTGATTGATCAATGTGAGGACACAGACTCTCTACTTTTAAAGTGAAAAGAACCTCAGTTCTCTGATAAAAATGGCTCCTCCCACGCACCGTAAATTTTCTGCCAGGCCAGTCCGATTTCACTCAGAACAGTATGAAATTCCAAAGTGGTTGATGATCCAACAAGCCTCATATGTAGTTGTTCTAAAGGATTCAAGGAGAATATGTGCTGATTTTTCTTTTTCTTTAAGAGACAGGGTCTTGCTCTGTCACCCAGGCTAGGGTCCAATAGTGTGATCATAGCTCACTGTAACCTCAGACTCCTATGCTCCAGCAATCCTCTTGCCTCAGTTTCCCCAACAGCTGGGACTATAGACACATGCTACCACCTGGTTAATTTTTAATTTTTTTGTAGAGATAGGGTCTCGTTATGCTGCCCAGGCTGATCTCAAACTCCTGGCCTCAAGGGATCCTCCCACTTCAGCCTCCCAAAGAATTGGGATTACAGGCATGAACCACTGCACCTGGCCTTATTTTTCCTAATTTCTAATCCTTCTTACCCCTTCTTGCCCTATTGTAGGCAACTAAAAAAAAAAATCTCTGCTGGGCACGGGGCTCATGCCTGTTATCCCAGCACTTAGGGAGGCTGAGGCGGGTGGATCACGAGGTCGGGAGCTCAAGACCAGCCTAACATGGTGAAACCGTGTCTCTACTAAAGACACAAAAAAATTAGCCGAGTGTGCTGGTGTATGCCTGTAATTCCAGCTACTTGGGAGACTGAGGCAAGAAATCACTTGAATCCGGGAGGTGGAGGTTGCAGTGAGCCAACATCATGTCATTGCACTCCAGCCTAGGCAACAAAAGCAAAACTCTGTCTCAAAAAAGAAAAGAAAAGAAAAGAAAAGAAAAGAAAAGAAAAGAAAAGAAAAGAAAAAAATCTCTATAAAATATCAAGGTGTACTATAGTCAAAATATCCTAGTGACATTATTAGGAACAATTTAAAATTCTGATAACAGGCCAGGTACAGTGGCTCACACCTGTAATCACTCTGGGAGGCCAGGTAAGCAGATCATTTTGAGGTCAGGAGCTCGAGACCAGCCTGGCCAACATGGTAAAACCCCATCTCTACTAAAAATACAAAAATTAGCCAGGCACGGTGGTAGGTGCCTGTAATCCCAGCTACTTGGGAGATTGAGGTAGGAGAATCGCTTGAACCTCAGGTGGAGGTTGCAGTGAGCCAAGATTGCACCACTGTACTCCAGCCTGGGTGACAAAGCAAGACTTTGTCTCAAAAAAAAAGATAACATAAATTCCAGCTCAGCTAGAAAAACAGCCATAGCACAGGGCTAGAGAAACATGCAGAGGAGGCTGTAACTGTATTGTAACTCTATCTCTACCAGCAGATATTTACCTGTCTATCCAGGTCTTACATAAATAGAGTATTAAAGTTAGTCTGGATTCCTGGCATATTTATCAAAAGGTGATGAGATGTAGGAAAAAAACTAGATTACATTGTATGATGGGCCCAAGTAGAATATTTTCCAGTGCTCAAATGAAGAAATTATTGTTATATTCTCACTTCTATTATTAGTTACAACCATCAAAAAGAAAGAGCCCAATTATTGTATCACAAAACTTTGGATCCTGTTTTTTCCGTGTATGAGCAAAGAATGGCTCCTTATAGTAGTTCCCTTTTATTTGGGCCAGCAGAGGGATTCTCAGTAAGGCCAACGGAGAAGTGAGAGAAGATGTCCTGTGAATGCTGGAAGGGACAAGTTAACCTTGGCAGTGGTGGAGGTGCCCCTGGGCTCTGCTCACCCGCTGCCTTTCCAACACCACGGACTGTGGCAGGGAATCATAACTGCCCTCTTGATAGGCAAACGTTTCCAGGTCATCTAGCTGGGTCTTGAGCTGCAGTATCAGTTCTTTCTGCTTCTCCCTTTGGGTTTCCAGACGCTCTTGTTTTTCCTGCTCACTCTAAAGCAAGAAGATAATTGGGTCTATTACACAGAAAAAGAAGAACTCAGGGCACATTAAGAAGCTGCTTGAGCCAGTAATGACCAATATAATATAAGATGTTTCCAATAATCCAAATTAAATACACAGTTCATATGATAGGTTCAAAAGAATAATTATTTCATCCTTGGCAATTTGTTAAATGGGTATTTTCTTTAAGAAACTATCTGCCCCCATTGGAAATATGATATGAATATAATGAGGCTTTTTGTTAAGGCTGCCTTTTTTCCCCCACCAAAGGTCTAGTTAGGGTAGAGACAACCTATTTCAGCCAAGATAGCCTCCTAGGAATTAGACACGCCATCCTCTGCAGCCAGTTACCATAACACAACTCCTGATTACTTTGTGCAGCCAAATTTTGCAAAAGAATCTGGGGTAAGGGTGTGGAGAGAGGCTTTAAAACTCACAACCAGCTTTCCTGATGTTCACCGAAGCCCCTATGATAGATGATAGACCACTTCTGCAAAATCAAAAGCATCAAACGCACCAGGAGTGGTGTCTCACGCCTGTAATCGCAGCACTCTGGGAGGCCAAGGCAAGAGGATTCCTTGAGCCCAGGAGTTTAAGACCACCCTGGGCAACATAGTGAGATCTGATCTCCACGATTTTTTTTTTTTTTTTTTGAGACAGTCTTGCACTGTCACCTGGGCCGGAGTGCAGCTGCGCGATCTTGGCTCACTGCAACCTCTGCCTCCCAGGTTCAAGCGATTCTCCTGCCTCAGCCTTCCGAGTAGCTGGGATTACAGGCACCTGGCACTACGCCTTACCACCTGGTGAGACGGGGTTTCACCAGGTTAGCCAGGCTGGTTTTGAATGCCTGACCTCGTGATTTGTCCCCCTTTGCCTCCCAAAGTGCTGGGATTATAGGTGTGAGTCACTAGGCCCAGCTCCACAAAAAATTTTTTTTAATTAGCTGGGCATTTGGGAAATAGGATTTGAGGAAGGACAGTTAAAAAAAAAAAAAAAAATTAGCCCAGTGTGGTGGCATGTGCCTGTGGTCCCAGCCACACAAGCAACTGGAAAAAGATGATTGAGTCTAGGAGGTTGTTTTCACCACTGCAATCCAGCCTTGGCAATATGGCAAGACTCTGTCTCAAAAAACCAAAACCAAAAACAAAACAATAAAAGGCAAGTGCCTGGGGCAGTGAAAAAAGTCCAAAAGCCACATCACTGGGGTGGGAAGGTAACAATGTTTTTTAAAAAAGTATCTGGGCCGGGCGTGGTGGCTTACATCTGTAGTCCCAGCACTTTGGGAGGTCAAGAGATTGAGACCATCCTGGCTAACATGATGAAACCCCATCTCTACTAAAAAATACAAAAATTAGCTGGGTGTGGTGGCACGCACCTGCAGCCCCAACTACTTGGGAGGCTGAGGCAGGAGAACTGCTTGACTCCAGGAGGCAGAGGTTGCAGTGAGCCAAGATTGCACCACTGCACTCCAGCCTGGTGCCTGGCAACAGAGAGAGAGACTGTCTCAAAAAAAAAAAAGAAAAAAAAAGTACCTATAAGATTCCCTGACTAGTGACATCTTTTCCAACTATTGGTCACCAGTAGTTTCTGCATTTAAATTAATAAAAACACTTCAGGTTGGTAAAGTCTTGCCAACGTATTCTCAAACACTGTTTCTTCCTTGTCTTTCTTGAGTCTCAAAAACGAAAAGCAAAACCAGCAAATCATTTGTAGGGGTAAGGCTGCATCTTAAACTAGAAGTCTACAGGGTATTACATTTAACCTTAAAAACGGTACTTACCAAGCCCTCCGGAAATAATGAGAGAGAAGAAATGAAAAAAAGAAAAAAGAGAAAACAACAAATTAACTTTTCGTTTAAGTATTTAAAAAGCAATCCACTTGCTTTAGCTTTGTTCAACATGAAAGCAAGCCTTTTCTCAGGACAGTCCCTCTGTAATCCTTTCAAAGCGCTGCTGCATTTTGTTAGAACTCTGTCCCCCTTCCCCATTTGGTGAAGGCCTAGTTTTCCTTTAAGAGGTTTCCTGATTTCCCCAGACATAACTAATCATTTCCTCTAGAGTTTGTACACACTTCTATTCTAGCTCTTATCACATTATTTAGGATTCTGTCTCTTCCAGTCTATGAACTTCTTAAGGACAAAGGTTTTGACTTTGAACCACAAATGCCAGGCACAGTGTCTGGCATAAGATAAGCTCTCAACGTGCATCTGTTGTATGTTTGTTACCCAACTAAATTAAGAAAAGTATGGGCCGGCGCAATGGCTCACGCCTGTAATCCCAGCACTTTGGGAGGTCGAGGCAGGCCGATCACGAAGTCAGGAATTCAAGACCAGCCTGACCAACATGGTGAAACCCTGTCTCACTAAAAATACAAAAATTAGCTACCGGGCACGGAGGCACACACCTGTAATCCCAGCTATTAAAGAGGCTGAGGCAGGAGAATCACTGGAACCCAGGAGGCGGAGGGTGCAGTGAACCAAGATCACGCCACTGCACTCCAGCCTGGAAGACAGAGCGAGACTCCATCTCAAAAAAAGAAAAAAAAGGAAAAGTATGGCTGAGCACCATGGCTCATGCCTGTAATCCCAGCACTTTGGGAGGCTGAAGCAGGCAGATCACCTGAGGTCAGGAGTTTAAGACCAGCCTGGCCAATATAGCGAAACCCTCCCTGTCTTTACTAAAAATACAAAATTAGCTGGGCATAGTGGCAAGCGTTCATATTCCCAGTTGCTTGGGAGGCTGAGGCAGGAGAATCACCTGAACCTAGGAGGCAGAGGTGGCAGTGAGTCAAGAGTCAATATGCTACTGCACTCCAGCCTGGGTGACAGAGAAAAACTCTGTCTCAAAAAAAAAAAAAAAAAAAGGCTGTTTACAGTGGTTCATGCCTGTAATCCAGTACTTTTAAGTGGCCAAGGTAGGTGGACTGCTTGAGCCCAGGAGTTCAAGACCATCTTGGGAAATATGGTGAAACCCCATCTCTAGAAAAAACACAAAAACTAGCTGAGCGTGGTGGTGCTTGCCTGTGGTCCCAATGACTTGAGACACTGAGGTAGGAGGACCTACTGAGCCTGGGAGTCAAGGCTGCAGTGAGCCCTGATCATACCAGTGCACTCCAGCCTGGGCAACAAAGTGAGACCCTGTCTCAAAAAAATAAAATAAAAAAAGAGAAAAAAACAGTAAGTGGTAAGAAGTGAATCATTCAGTTCAAAGATATCCCCTACTCTGGTCCTACCTGTTTGCCTGTCAATGTATAAATATAAGATTACAACTTGTAAGTAGATTGAGCGCTTTTTTTTGTTTTAAGGTGGTACAAGGTTTCTGTTTTCCTTTTTTTTTTTTTTTGAGACAGAGTTTCACGCTTGTTACCCAGGCTGGAGTGCAATGGCACGATCTCGGCTCACCGCAACCTCCGCCTCCTGGGTTCAGGCAATTCTCCTGCCTCAGCCTCTAAGTAGCTGGGATTACAGGCATGCGCCACCATGCCCAGCTAATTTTTTTTTGTATTTTTAGTAGAGACGGGGTTTCACCATGTTGACCAGGATGGTCTCGTTCTCTTGACCTCGTGATCCACCCGCCTCGGCCTCCCAAAGTGCTGCGATTACAGGCTTGAGCCACCGAGCCCGGCCTCCCTTTTTTTTTTTTTTTTTGAGACCCCCAAACACAGCCTACTGACAGTCATCCACAGGGTGCTGACAGAGCATGACCCTTTTAAGCGCAGTGCAGACTCAAAATTGAAGGCCTTGGTGTGCATGGCACTGGTCTTGCTCTGTCATTCAGACTGGAGTGCAGTGGTATGATCATAGTTCACTGCAGCCTTGAACTCCCGGGCTCAAGTGATCCTCCTCTAGCCTTCGCCTCCCAAAGTGTTGGGATTACAGTCATGAGCCACTGCAGGCAGTCTACTTTTTAAAATTTTAGTTTTTAATTTTTATGGGTACATAATATGCATGTATATTTAAAAGGTACATGACATGTTGCTACAGGAATGCAATGTGTGATTATGACACACTGCACGCCTGTAATCACACAGCATGGAAAATGGGGTTGGCCTACTGTTTCTGAAGGTGAAAATGAACAACAGAAAGAGTTTCTTTCTTTCTCTTTTTTTGAGATGGAGTTTCACTCTTGTTACCCAGGCTGGAGTGCAATGGTGCGATCTCGGCTCACCGCAACCTCCGCCTCCTGGGTTCAAGCAATTCTCCTGCCTCAGTCTCCCGAGTAGCTGGGACTACAGGCACGTGCCACCATGCCCAGCTAATTTTTGTATTTTTAGTAGAGAGGGGGTTTCACCTTGTTGACCAGGATGGTCTTGATCTCTTGACCTAGTGATCCACCCGCCTCCACCTCCCAAAGTGCTGGGATTATAGGCGTGAGCCTAGAGTTTCTTATCACATAGAACCTTTAGTGCTGTCTCCTTTCTAGCCCTTAAATCTGCCAGTTTGAGGTGGTTGCTCTTTGTGTAAGGAGTTGTGGGTATGTGGAGAAGGGTGGAACAGTAAACACAAGATTGTACTGGGAAAAGTTCAGATTAAAAAAAACAAATCATTATTGGCTGCTGAGAAATCCTCTTGGCTAAAACCAATGTAAGTGGGAAGAAAGCCACATATGGGATGTAGTTTGAAGAATAAAAAGGTGAAAAGGGACCCGGCATGGTGGCTCACACCTATAATCCCAGCACTTTGGTAGGCTGAGGAGGGCACACTGTTTAAGCTCAGGAGTTCGAGACCAGCCTGGGCAACATGGTGAAACCCCATCTCTATAAAAAATAAACAAAATTAACTGGCCATGGTGGCACTCATCTGTAGTCTCAGATACTGGGGAGGCTGAGGCAGGAGGACTGCTTGAGCCCAGGAGACAGAGGTTGCAGTAAGCCAAAATTGTGCCACTGCACTCTGGCCTAGGCCTCAACACTTCCAATAAAGCCTGCAGTTTGTGCACTTCCAGAAATGCAAAGCTTGTAAGCAAACGTTCACCTGGGTCTTATACACAGTTTCACTACTTTTGGGGTAGGCACACTGAATCGACCTTGTCACAGTTACCAAAGGACCTCATTCAGAATACCTAATGATTAAGCAGGATGGAAGAAGAGTTTTAAAATTCCTACATTACAGCCTGCATGGTGGTGCACGCCTGTAGTCCTGCAGCTGAGGAGGGAGGATGGCTTGAGACCAGGAGTTCAAGACCAGCCTAGGCAACATAGTGAGATCCCCTCTCTTAAAAATGAAAAATTCCACCGGTGCAGTGGCTCACGCCTGTAATCCCAGCACTTTGGGAGGCTGAGGTGGGCGGATCACGAGGTCAAGAGATTGAGACCAACCTGGTCAACATGGTGAAACCCCATCTCTACTAAAAATACAAAAATTAGCTGGACGTGGTGGCATGCACCTGTAGTCCCAGATACTCGGGAGGCTGAGGCAGGAGAACTGCGTGAACCCGGGAGGCGGAGGTTGCAGTGAGCCGAGTTCTCGCAGCTGCATTCCAGCCTGGCTCCCGGCTACTGAGCGAGACTGTCTTAAAAAAAAAAAAAAAAGGGCCGGGCGCGGTGGCTCACGCCTGTAATCCCAGCACTTTGGAAGGCCGAGGCGGGTGGATCACGAGGTCAAGAGATCGTGACCATCCTGGTCAACATGGTAAAACCCCGTCTCTACTAAAAATACAAAAAATTATCTGGGCATGGTGGCACGTGTCTGTAATCCCAGCTACTCAGGAGGCTGAGGCAGGAGAATTGCCTGAACCCAGGAGGCGGAGGTTGCGGTGAGCCGAGATCACGCCATTGCACTCCAGCCTGGGTAACGAGAGCGAAACTCCGTCTCAAAAAAAAAAAAGGAAAGAAAAATTCCTCATTAAAAAAACAAAAACAAAACAAATAACAAAAAAGAAAAAACATCTTGGAGACTTTGTTCATTAAAAAAAAAAAACTAAAAATTCCAGTATTAGGAAATTTATATAATCAAGACTTGTGTTTCTTTCAATTACTAACAGACTCTGCTGTTAACCAAAACTCTCACCCAGAGAAGTGTAAAGACTTTGCTTAGATTTTAGGAAAGCAGGGACAGGGAGTTAACCTAAATTTCCACGGATTCCAATTCACTTTTCTTTCATTTGCCAGTTTTCCCAATCTCCAGAGTCGGGGTCCTCTAGCAGCAAAAGTGCTCAAGACAGGTATGTGAGGGAAAGGTGAGTGGGAGCAGCACTGCTCTGGTTGCTCTGCGGCCCTCTAAATTACTCACCTCGCTCACCGCTCCTCTGCCCCTCACACACCGGCATCTCTCCACGTCTTCCGCGCACACCGCTCACCCTCAGGTTCCCAAGCCTCTGTCCTCTTGCCCTTCAGCTGGCCCCGCACTCCTGTCTCCTCGTCTCGGACCCACTTACTCACCCGACAGAGTCGGGGAGGCTTCTCCCTCTCATGCACCATCATCCGGGTCTGCATCGCCACCCACATGACCGCCTATTCCCATATCCCTCGCGGCCCGGCTCCAGCCACTCACCTGGTCCTCGCCCCGCAACCGTGGCCGGTCCCCTGGCAGCCCATCACCTTCATCGCTGGCGGGCTCTCCAGGGCCCTCGTAACCCAGGACGTGAGGGCAGCCACGGAAGGCGAAGTCTTCGAGCTCCCGCAGAAGGCGCTGCTGCTCTGCCGGCGCCCCGCGCACCACCTGGCGCAAACGGAACTGCACCTGCGCGAAGTGCGAGGACAGCGCCAGCAGCGCCGAATCCAGCCGTCGCCGCTCGGCCCGCAGCCGTAGCAGCGTCCGGCCCGGCGAATCCGGCGGGGAGCCCGGGGCCGCGCCAGGCTCCTCGGCCGCCGCCTCTTCCAGAAACGCAGTTGCCCCAGGCCGGGCCTCCGCCACAGCCCCCACTGGAGCCCAGCGCACCGCCTCGCACGGTGGCAGCGGCTCCTCTTCCTCCTCCTCTTCGTCTTTTGCCTTTGGCTCAACAGCCGCCACCACCATTACCGGCTCCACAGCCGCCATCTTCCCGGAAACGCCGCTACACGTCAGCCGCGCCCCCCACCCGCTGCCATGGCAACGGTGCGGTGGCTTGGAACCCTGGAACAGCGGTGGGCGGGGCCTGAAGTTCCGAAGTCCCTGGAGCGCGGCTTCCTTGGGGATTTAATTCAGGCCAATAATGTTTTATTGAGCGCCTATTGTGAATCAGGCACTGAGCGCTAAGCCTGGGAGAAACAGGTGAATGTAACTGGGGAAAAGTCATTCCAGTGTGTAGCGTCTAGGGCAGCCTTTGCCCTGGTTCCAGCATGTGGGTTGTCTGTTCCTAGTCTGTGCATTTCTGAAGACCCCAGGATGAAGGGCTGCAAGGGTTACTCTCCCAGAATATCTCCAGAGTTCAGATCCCTTGGCCATCAGGTCACTTTCTCCCTTCCTCTCAGCTGTTCTCCCGACCATATAAGGAGAGGCAGCTGCTGTGGGCGTCCCTAGGATCTAAAGATAGCGGCCCTTGCCCAGAATTCTAAATGCCACCCTGGAGCGGGAGCCGCAATGGCACGGTGAGTGTTTCCGGCTCCGGTGCTCCCCCTGGCCCTTTCCCTGGAGATTCCCTGCTCCAGGTCTTCTGGGCGCTCCAGGTTCTGTGAGGCTCTATGGGAACCCCAGACCCCGGTCTCTGTAACTCGGGTGAGGGGAGGTGTGACCTGAATGTTCTCCCTGACGCCCTACTTCCCTAGTCTTGCACTTTATATTCTTCCCAGGTTCACATTCACCACACCCACCCACTCCGGTCTTTCCCTTCTCTCCCGCCCCCAACCTTATTTAGCTCCACTTTGAAAAAAACTGCGGCATCTCTGGGGCAGTCCAGGCTACTCGGGAGGCTGAGGTGGGAGGATCGCTTGAGCCCAGGAGTTCTGGGCTGTAGTGCGCTATGCCGATCGCGTGTCCGCACTAAGTTCAGCATTAATATAGTGACCTCCCGGGAGCGGGGGACCACCAGGTTGCCTAAGAAGGGGTAAACCGGCTTAGGTCGGAAACGGAGCAGGTCAAAACTCCGTGCTGATCAGTAATGGGATCGCACCTGTGAATAGCCACTGCACTCCAGCCTGGGCAACATAGGGAGACCCCGTCTCTTAAAAAATAAATAAATAGTTAAATTAAAAAAAAAGAAAAAGAAAAAACTGGTGTCAAACGTCCCTGGGTAGTCTCCTCCCTCCATCTTTCCCAAATGCCCTCAGTCTTCCCTCTCCACCTCAATGTCTTTTCAGACAGCATGCCCGGACCCTGTGGTACGACAGGCCCAAGTATGTGTTCATGGAGTTTTGTGTTGAGGACAGCACCGATGTCCACGTGCTTATAGAGGATCACCGCATTGTGTTCAGGTAGTGGCCCTCCCCTCTGAGGGCCTGCCTTCCCAGGAACCTCCCTCTTCTCCTGATGCCCCCATACAGAGTATTCTGCATCTCCTCAGCTTCACTGTCTCCTCAGCTGCAAGAATGCCGATGGAGTGGAATTGTACAATGAGATTGAGTTCTATGCCAAAGTGAACTCCAAGGTAAGGGTGAGAAGGAACAGTACTGTCTGGATGGAAACTCTGAGCTGCCGAGGGAAACTGGAGATTGATATTAAACCTCAGACCCTAAGAATGAGGCTCTTTATCTGGCAGGACTCCCAGGATAAGCGCTCTTCCCGCTCTATTACCTGCTTTGTGAGGAAATGGAAGGAAAAGGTGGCCTGGCCCCGGCTTACCAAGGAGGATATCAAGGTGGGTGTGAAAAGTGGCCTGCTCCTCTCTCTCTGTGTACCCAGGTTAGAGCTGGGATTGGCCTTTTCTTCTTGCCTCCTTTCCAGCCAACATTCAGTCACTCACCAAGTCCTGACTAAATGTTCTTTTTATTTTTTTCTGACTGTATTAGTCTCTCTTATATTTATTTATATTCATTCATTTATTTTTTTTTTTGAGTCGGAGTTTTGCTCTTGTTGCCCCAAGCTGGAGTGCAATGGTGTGATCTCAGCTCATTGCAACCTCCACCTCCCTGGTTCAAGCGATTCTCCTGCCTCAGCTTTCTGAGTAGCTGGGATTACAGGCACGTGCCACCACGCATGGCTAATTTCGTATTTTTTGTAGAGATGGGGGTTTCTCCATGTTGGTCAGTCTGGTCTTGAACTCCTGACCTCAGGTGATCCACCGACCTTGGCCTCCCAAGGTGCTGGGATTATGGGCATTAGCCACCGAACCTGACTTATTTATTTTTTTACTTTAAATTCTGGGATACATGTGCAGAATGTGCAGGTTCAGGTTTGTTACATAGGTATACATGTGCCACAGTGGTTTGCTGCATTTATCAACCTGTCACCTAGGTTTTAACCCTGCATATATTAGCTATTTGTCCTGAGTCTCTTTTTATTCTCTTGGTAATCTCTCCCAGTTAACTGCTTCCGTGTAGGTACTTAAATGTGTAAGACTTCACTTCAGACGTTGGCTCTGCTATGAACATGGTCTTTCCCTTTACTGTAACTCACAATCACAACCTTTGATTCTTGGTTGTTTTTGAGATGGAGTCTCACTACTGTGGCACAAGTTGGAGTACAGTGGTGAGATCTTGGCTCACTGCAACCTCCACCTCTCAGGTTGAAGCAATTCTCATTCCTCAGTCTGCTGAATAGCTGGGATTACAGGTGTGTACCACCACACCCAGCTAATTTTTGTATTTTTAGTAGAGACGAGGTTTCGCCATGTTGTCCAGGCTGGTCTTGAACTCCTGACCTCAGGTGATCCAGCCACCTCAGCCTCCCAAAGTGTTAGGATTACAGGCGTGAGCCAATGCACTTGGCCGATTCTTTTTTTTTTTTTTTTTTTTTGTCGTTTTTTGAGACAGAGTCTCACTCTGTTGCCTAGGCTACAGTGCAGTGGCGTGATCTCGGCTCACTGCAACCTCCGGCTCCTGGGTTCTGGCGATTCTCCTCCCTCAGACTCCCGAGTGGCTGGGATTACAGGTGTGTGCCACTACACCCAGCAAATTTTTGTATTTTTAGTAGAGACAGGGTTTTGCCATATTGGCCAGGCTGTCTTGAACTCCTGAGCTCATGATCCACTGGCCTCTGCCTCCCAAAGTGCTGGGATTACAAGCATGAGCCAGCACGCCCTGCCGCTGATTCTTGTTTTTTTTATATCGCAGTCCCAGAAGTAGTTTCCACTATGGAAGTTAATTGATGAATCTTATTCTTTCTTTCTTATTTATTTATTTTAAGATGGGGTTTCACCATATTGGTTAGGCTTGTATAAAACTCCTGACCTCAGGTGATCCATCTGCCTCAGCCTCCCAAAGTGCTGGGATGACAGGCATGTATTTGATTTTTTTTTAATTTTTTTTAGATGGAGTCTTGCTCTATCACCAGGCTGGAGTGCAGTGGCGGGATCCTGGCTCATTGAAACTGCCATTTTCCAGTTTCAAGCAATTCTCCTGTCTCAGCCTCCCGAGCAGTTGGGATTACAGTCATGCACCACCATGCCTGGCTAATTTTTGTATTTTTAGTAGAGATGGGGTTTCACCATGTTGGCCCAGATGGTCTTGATCCTTGACCTCATGATCTGCCCACCTTGGCCTCCCAAAGTGCTGGGATTACAGGCATGAACCACTGTGCCCGGCCTGATGAGTCTCATTCTTCCTTTTGGTTTTTGAGACCAAGTTTCTCTCTTGTTGCTCAGGCTGGAGTGCGATGCCACGATCTCGGCTCACTGAAGCCTCCACCTCCCGGGTTCAAGTGGTTCTCCTGATTCTCCAGGTTCAAGTGGTTCTCAGCCTCCCAAATACTTGGGATTACAGGTGCCCATGATCACGCCCAGCTAATTTTTTGTATTTTTTTTTTTTTTCCTGCCTCAGGTTTATTTGTACAAATAGCACAGGAGGACCCCAGCCCCATGCAGATGGCAGCCCCAGGGGAGTTACACCAGTCCTTCTGTCCTCACATTGGCAGACAAAGATTTCTATTCTGAAGTCTTTGTAGGGGCCTGGGCACCTTTGAGAGCCTGAGCTGGAACTGAAACTGGAGCTGAAGCCTGGGCCTTGGTTTGATCCTTGGCCTTGGCCTTGACCTTGACCTTTGGCCGGCAGAGCCTGAGCCCCTTGGCAATGTGTGCCCGAGCACGCTTCCCAAGCTTGGGGTGGGCAATGTAGGCAAGTCGATCGAGCTTGCGGCTGACACCCTTTGGGATCTTGGGCTTAACCTCCTTGGGCTTTACGAGGGCCTTGATGGCCTTGGCACGTGCACTCATGGCCTTGGCATTGTTGGCCTGCATCTTCTTTAGGCCCTTCTTGTTGTGCTTCTTGGCAAAGCGCATGTTCCTCAGGAACTTGGGGTCCACCCCCTTAAGAGACTCGTATCTTTGTGATCGGGGTTTCTTGATACCATTTCTGTGCCATTTTCGGGACTGGTTGTGTGTGGTGTGGTTCTTGGACTTGGCCATGTCTGCACCCTGCAGCTTTCGCTCCCCACAGACACACAGCCGGTCAGCCGTCCTCTCCGCAGCCTGCGCCCCGCCGCCGCCCGTAAGTCGCGGATGGCATCGGATCTTTTTTGTATTTTTAATAGAGACAGGGTTTCACCATGTTGACCAGGCTGGTCTCAAACTTCAGACTTCAAGTGATCTTCCTGCCTCAGCCTCCCAGAGTGCTGGGCCATTGTATCCAGCCCTTTTGAATCCTATTCTTTCTCATAGTGGCTTACAACCAGGATTTACTCATCTCCTAAATATTATTGAATTCACTACTTAATTTCTTCCTTGTTCAAGCCTATCCATCATAGGGTGAGAAGTTTGTTGCATATTTTCAGCCCCATTTTCAATCCATTCTTTGCATTGCCCCCAGCATGGTCTGTGTAAAATACACATTTGACCCTGACACTCTCCCACACGAGGCCCACCAATGGCTTCTTCCATAAAGGTTGAAAACTGACTGCCTGATGGCTGGATCTGGCTCTCAGATTTTTTTTTTTTTTTTTTTTTGAGACGGAGTTTCGCTGTTGTTACCCAGACTGGAGTGCAATGGCACGATCTCGGCTCACCGCAACCTCCACCTCCTGGGTTCAAGCAATTCTGCCTCAGCCTCCTGAGTAGCTGGGACTACAGGTGCGCACCACCATGCCCAGCTAATTTTTGTATTTTTAGTAGAGACGGGTTTTCACCATGTTGACCAGGATGGTCTTGATCTCTTGACCTCGTGATCCACCCGCCTCGGCCTCCCAAAGTGCTGGGATTACAGGCGTGAGCCACCGCGCCTGGCCTAGATTTTTTTTTTTTTTTTTTTTTTTTTGAGGCAGAGTCTAGCTCTATTGTCTAGGCTGGAGGGCAGTGGTACGATCTCAGCTCAGTGCAACTTCCACCTGCAGAGTTCAAGCTATTCTCCTGCCTCAACTTC